GGGCCGGGGGCTGCTTGGAGCGAGCCTGGGGGGTTCTCGGGGGGTCGAGGCCGCGGTTTCCCAGCGGGGGAGGGTGTTGCAGTCGGTTCTCTGTGCTGCTTTGATCCGGTGTCCCTGAGTCTCGGCATAAAGCTGATGATCTCAGTCTTAACTGATAAGCTATCGGTGTTAATGGCACGGGTGCGTCTAAAGGCTGTAGCGTTAACCGTTTCTTTGCCTCTCTCCTCTTCTGGTGCTTGTCTGTGCAAAGGTCAGATGTTTCCATCGGTCGTGAAGAAGAGTGGAGTTGGGACCTGCTGAGTGCTGATCTGCTTGTGCTCCGGACCATGGACTCATTGAGGGCATCCCAGGTGTGAAAATGTCCAGCAGTAACCGGGAGTTAGTGATTGACTTTGTTTCCTACAAGCTCTTGCAGAAGGGACACAGCTGGAGTCAGCTGGAGGAGGAGGATGAGAACAGGACTGACTTTGCAGCGGAGGAGGCCGAGATGGATGGTGTCCTCAACGGGAGCCCCTCCTGGCATCCACCCGCCAGCCACGTAGTGAACGGAGCCACTGTCCACCGGAGCAGCCTCGAAGTCCATGAAATCGTTCGAGCGGCCGATGTGAGGCATGCGCTGAGAGAGGCGGGGGGTGGGTTTGGGTTGAGGTACCGGCGGGCTTTCAGTGACCTCACTTCCCAGCTCCACATCACCCCCGGCACAGCGTATCAGAGCTTTGAGCAGGTAGTGAATGAACTCTTCCGTGATGGAGTGAACTGGGGTCGCATCGTGGCTTTCTTCTCCTTCGGAGGAGCCTTGTGCGTGGAGAGCGTTGACAAGGAGATGCGGGTATTGGTGGGACGCATTGTATCTTGGATGACCATGTACTTGACCGACCACCTAGATCCCTGGATCCAGGAGAATGGCGGATGGGTAAGAACTCCTCTCCCTGGTGGGGATGGCTGCCCGTGTCCTCCCTCGCTCCAGGCCAGCAGCGGTACCGGTCAAACCGGAGCGCAGCTCCCTGCAGTGTTTATACTAGTGTGTGTCCTAGACCTTGCCGGGAGATAAAGGGCCATGCGGCCTTTCCCTCTGTGTGCTCTGCCCCGGGAGGGTCAGTCCATCGCAGTGACACAGTTTATACTCAGACGTGTCCTTCTCCATCCCTGTTTCTTCTCCTTCTCCCTGGATGTTACGTAAATGACCTGTTCTCCAAGAGCCTTTGGAAACCTAATGTCATCCAAGCTTGTTCTTCAAGTGGTAGCCCTTGCTCTCAGGCATGTTCCTGGTGTCACTTAACAGCAGGGAGTGGAGCTTCCTCCTCTCTGAGCACACAGTGCTCTGGCGGGCCAGCCTGTGGTCTGCCGGGGTAGCAGCTACTTCTTCATTCTGGAGACAGGATTTTGCCTTCTGCCGCGCTCACAGTGAAGCGAATCCCACAGCAGAGCTCACTGGGTGGGCTGCTGGGCCTGTCTGAGCTGCAGGAGTGGGAGAGAGGGCTGGGGTGGGGGCAACCTCTGCGCTGGGGAGCTGTGTTGTTTCTTCTTGGGCGGGGAGCAATGCTCCCAGCTGCCCCAGCAGCAAACCCCAGTACGCTTTCAGTGGTGAGGTATTAACATGAATAAGCATTTCTTCAGGAAGCATTCCTGAGATGCCGGGTCCGGCTGTGCGGTGCTGCCTGGGACTGCCAGCGGGAGGTCTATGACCTACAGATGTCTGAGTTTTCTTTTTGATTCTGCATCTTAGCGATTCCCTGCTGGTGTAACCTTTACTGGTGCCGACTGGAAAGAGTTCATGCTGTCAGGCGTTAGCATCTAAACGGTGGGGAGCGTAGCCCATCACCAGGCCCCTGCATCTCGAGGAGAGGGCAGGAACCTTTGAGCCTGGTGCTGTGCTCTGCACCCTCCTGCCAGAGGAGAGGCACAGGAGCCCCACAGAGCTCCCCAGCCCCTCACGCCTGGCTGGGGACCCCGGGGAAGTGGGTGCACCCAGGGTGCAGGAATTCCAGGAATGTGGCCGCCCTGGGGCATTGCCTGGGTGGGGCTGCTCAGGCAGAGGAGCTTGGTTTCGATTAATAACCCAGGATCTGCTAGCCATTTCATCAGGCTGTGTCTGGCCCATTAGCTCTCTCATCCTGCAGACAACCCTGGCCAAACGCTGAGTTCCTTCCCCCTCCCTCTGGCTTTGGCTTTTAAAGCCACAGATTAGTCTTGGAATTGAGTGATCAAATTGAGGTTTCCAAGCTAGTGTGGCTGTTGCTGTTAGTGACGGATTGGGCTGTATCCTGGAGACCTAGGCGATAATGCAATCTGATTTTTTGTAAATGAACTCTCTGGGGGATTTAGATTAAATCACTGGTGGAAAATCACTGGTCCCTGCTTGCGGGGAATGAAATACCTCCTCCCTCTCTTCCCCACCCCCAACCATCATGGTTAAGACTCTTCAATTTTTTTGTGTCTGTCTGTAAATTCGTTGTTTGGAGCAAATATTTGTTCAACAGATTGCAGAAGGGTCAGGACTCCTCTCTGTCTGACCCGCCCACCGGCTCTGGCATTGAAGTTTGCCGTTAGCCGTGTTTCCCACCCAGGGGAGCAGCCTTGCTCTCTTCTTCTAACCTTGAACGGGGCTTCTAAATTCACCGCTCCGGCTGTGCCGCTGCCTGGGCTGTGCCGGTAGCTGAAGGGGAGCCAGGCAGGGTGGTAAAGGCTGTAGTAGGGGGCGGGGATCCCACCCCACCAGCCACCAAAAAAAAAAAGGGGCCGGGCAGCATGGCTGCTGCCAGCCTGTTGCAAACCCCAACCAGGGCTTGTTTGATGTCTCCGCTGTAGCTTTCCTCCATGCTCAGCTTTCACCGTGTTGCTTCCCTGAGGGGAGCAGCCGTGCTGCTCCACACGAAGGGACGGCATGGTGCAGCGGTAGCACAGGGGCCATCAGAGCTCCCGAATGCCTCACGCGTGGGGATGCTCTGCTTCGCTCTTGCGCGACTCCATCTGTAGGGGAAAAAAACCTGCTGGCCTGCTGCCAGCTCTCCCTGCAAGAAGAGAGGGCTAGCCTGCGCTTGCTGTGACGGAGCGGTCCCTCTCCTGCCGCCCTGTTTGCACAGGGAGCCTGTTTGGTGCACCTGAGCTGTTAGAGCCTGTCCCACGCAAACAAAGCTCTCCCGAGAGGTGCAGCAGGCGGGTCCTGGTGAGAGGGATGCAAGTTCTGGCAGGCCTGCTTGGCAGGGACCAGGTGCTTTGCTTTTTGGAGCGCTGCAGCACTTCTCTTCCTGGAAAGCCCCTCTAAAAGAGGGAAGGAGCACGGCTCTGTCACAAGTGTCGCACAGCCTGGTTGCGTAGGAAGCTCTGTTTCATTCCCCACCAGTGGAACAAAGGCAAGCGTAGGATGGCTGCGGGGTGCAGGTTTGCCTTTGGGGGGGCCTGTTCAGGATGCTGCGTGCTGGGCTGTAGCAGTTTTCTTGAGAAACCATTTTTTGAGGTGAGGGGGAAATGGCAAATCTCGCTGCATAGCGTTAACATGGGTGTATTTTGTCACGTTTACTGGCCCTGCCTTGGTTTGCCCTCCTCTCTGCAATCTGGCACTGAGAAAACAAACAAGAACAACCTGAGGGGGGCATTTAATAACCAGCAGGAAGAGAGCTGCTGCCTTGGTGAGCCATCAAAACCTGCTTTCCTGAGGCAGTTGCTTTGGCCAGGACCAGATTCCACTGGCTGTGAAGTTCAAACAGTGATCCCAGTGGGGATTGGGAATCAGGGGGGAGAGAAATCTGGTGAGTGGGAGCGCAGGAGGGGGAAGCGCAGGGTGAGCGGGAGAGAGCCTGGCAGGCAGAGATGTACTGACCGTGCGTAATCTGTTTGAGAAGGGAAAGTGAGCAGTAGTCCCTGCCGGGCTGTGACCCTCCCGTGCATGGCAGCTTTTCTTTCAAGGTTAAGGCTACGTTCTGAGTGAGATTTAAAGAGGGTGTTTGGGGTGGGGGCTTGGAGGTAGATCTGTGGACATAGAGGCGAGAGGTTTCTTGTTTGCAGGGTGTGTGCCGTGTCCAGCGTGAAGGGTGTGTGCTGGGTTGGGACTGAAAGCAAAGAGCATCTTTGTCACCAGTCTGTGACATCTGAATCCCAACAAGCTGGGCTGGGCTGAAGGAGGATGGACTGCTGCCCGCGTTGGCCCTGTGCATCCTGGGCTCTTGACTGGCCCTGGCCACGCAGGGCTCGGTGTGCCGGGCCATACGTGTTGTGTCGCTCTGCGGTGGACTGGAAGCTTGTGGTTCTGTTTGGGGAAAACCCTTAGAAGATGTCAATATAGCAAACTCATTTTCTGTCTTTTTAGTTTTTTTCATGAATGATAGGAAATGACTCAGCCTGTGTCATATGACAGAGTGCAGCTGGGATTTTGTCCTGAGCTCTTGTTCCAACCTTCTCAATGGTTTCAGGTTGAGAGCGAGACTTCGATTCTCAGCTCTCCAGAAGTGCTTTTTGGCCTTGTGCCATCGCCCAGGTACCCTGCACAAGCCTTCCCCGCAGCCACCACGTTATCTAGCGGATCCCAGGTGCCTCAGGATCCTTGTGCCTTCTTGGTCCAAGCTTTTTGGGCAGCGTAAGATAAGTGCAAGTTGGAATTCTGCTGCTGCTGTGCCCTGAGACTCGGAGAGGAGCGGCGTGCTAGGTGTGCACGGCATGCGTGGAAGGGGCACACCTGCGCATTGCACCGTACGGGGAACGCGGCTCCCTCCGGGGTGAGTGCTGTTGGCCAAAGCTCTGCCATCTTGAGTGTTAACACGCTGGCTCTCGGGGATGCCCTGGCGCTGCTAATCCCCCTGGAGAGCGCAGCCATCAGTTTCCCTTGCTGGCCAACACGCAGCAGCGCTGGCTGTAGGAGGTGACTGCGGATAGCCAAGGCCGCGCTTTGCTGTCTTAGAGATGAATCCCAACCAGTCGCCTGCAAAGCTTGGCTGGGCTATCGCTTTCCACTTTGTCCTCCGTAATTATTTTACAGTCTGGATCCCTCACAGCTGAGGCGATGCCCCCATTGTCATCACCTGCTTGGGATAAAAAAAGTACTCTCCTCCGGCCAGCTGAGTCCCCTCGTGTCCCTTTGCGGTACCGGGTGTTCCTCCCTGGCTGTGGGAACTGCCTGCCTGACTGTTGCTGCTGGCAGGGTCTTGGCTCCGGCTGTCCTGCCAGGGGTGCCTGTCCCAGGTAGCTGTATCCTTGCTGGTGGCTGGAGATCTGGGCTCAGCGTGCAGATCCCTGGCAGCTTCTCGCCCTGCCTGCGACCTGGGAGGCTTTTCTGCAGTGCTCTCCAGGAAATGCCATTGGAATGACTTCCACTGCAGCTTCCTGCCCGGCCCGCAGCAGCACTCCTGCCGCTAGACCAAGAATGATGCAGAGGCGAGTTTTCAGAGCTTTGCTCTTCGCCCCATTTACTCGGTTGTCCTTCTCTGGGGCCCTGCCTGTTTTCCTTGCTGCCTCTCTGCGTTTGGTGCAGTTTCATTAAGTTCCTTAGATCTGTGATTAGAGCAGGCGCCTGGAAGGCAAAGCTCCTGCCCATCGCTGGTTGTGGCTCAGAGCAGCCCACTTAACCCCGCGGTCTTTCAGCAAAAGGGATAGCATTTCCTTCCCTCCCAGGGGAGCCACTGGGAACTCAGATTCGCAAAGCGCTCTGAGGTTCTTTAATCCGAAAGAAAAAAAAAAGACCTGTGAAATAATTAACAAACTGTTTCTTGCTGCTCTGTGTTCACAGCTGTTCTCGGTAATGTCAGTCTTCCTGATCATCCTGCTCCTCTCTGAAATTGGAGCTGGGTCCCCCTGAGCACTGCCTGGTGCCTCTCCCCATTTCGGCAGCAGCAGGGTGTCCCACTGCAGCAGAAGGGGTGGGAGGGAGCAATGTGCTCTCTTTTCCCCTGTGGAAGCTGCAGCTTTCTGTACGCGTCTGGG